ACAAGTTTAGTGTCTGTATATTTGGATAAACTTTTGGATGTAAGACTTGCCATAAACTTATTCATACACAGTGCAAAAACTTTCCTTTTCTGTGCATTTCTCAAGATTATGTGTTTCTTGTTTATTCTTAGATCATCAGTTAGAGTTAAAAATCATATCTTGAAAGAAGGGGAACTATCAAATGACTCCACTTATTCAATCTAATCGAATTTTAAGGATGTCTTTAGTTGTTCTAATATCATACTTGAGTCTTCCATTAGATTTCAAGACTTGTTAGCTCATATTGTTTTATCACCTAATTGCTTCTGAAAATACCACGAAATGTTAACACTGGATGCTATCTTAGAAGACAAGCCGTGAGATACTTCAGATGCCGCTGTCTCTCATCTCTGCCACCCTAATGCAGATACTTCAGCAAAGCCTCATTAGAACATACATAAAAGGAGGCATAGTTGATTGATTGATCATATAGACCTTATTCGATCAAGGAGGTACCACAGTAAGTGAAATTCTTGCAATAAATAAAGTGGTGTTAATACAGAAGTGGTACCAATTCAGGATCAGATTGTTAAGTCTACTCATAACCAAATGTAAAAGTGAAAGCTTTGGTTATATATGGTAAATTTTCTGATAAAATAATAATCAATCTGTATGATGCGCTTTACAATTGTGTTCTTCAGTCTATGTTGTATCTAAAAACTATTTTGAGCTATCATGTATTAAAAAAGATGTTGATTATAACTCAACAAACAAGAAGTAGTTGGTTTCCACTTTCTTGGTGTGAATATGAAGTTGAATAGCAACATGAAGGAATTGAGAGGAGCAACGCTTTGTGAAGTTCTCCTGCAGTTACGCCTTTCTTAACGAGCGAAATGATGTAGTCCATGAAGGCTGAATCACAAGGTAATGTAATAGGACCACCACTCGGCAGCCCAAATTCTTCTTCGGACATGTTTAAAAGTTGCTGAATGGACCTCATTTTCAAGATAAGCCAAGGGAATCACAAAGCGTACTTGATCGATTGTATATACTACAAAATGGCCTTTTTCAACAATAGAGGATGCAGATGTACTGCAACTGTCTGCATCACTACCATTTCTTGGAAATGAAATCCTCTTCCTTTGCATGGCTGCAAACTTCTGCCATTTCCTAACCATTTTGATGAGTTTCTTAGTACTGATTATTGCCATTTTTTTGTTTGGAAGATTGGTAAAAAGAAAGTAAATAAGAGAGATTTTTGATGGCTGAATTGATAATGCTTGTGCTTGATGATGAAAAGGTTCATGAAAGAGGGCTTATTTATACAAGAGGAGCTGATAAGTTTGTTAGGCAAAGCCATGTGCTGATGCCTGTTGGCCATGTTCATATGGGGCCTTAAATTTGTGGATGAAGCTAGTTTGAATATAAAAGACGATAAATTTCTTCGTTTCTTCTCGCCGATGCCAATAATTTGAAACCATTAAATGAACAATTGCTTGAAAAAAGCAAAACCATGTTCTGCTCTCTTCTTTGTCATGTAGGTAGTGTTGACACCCAATTTTGACCCTCCCCAATATAGATTGATCATCGAGTTTCTCCAATTTTAAACGATTTAAGATAATTACTTCTCTTTTTTTTTTTTAAAAAAAAAAAAGTTCAATAAAAAATAAAAATAGTTCGCCAAGTTATTTTAAATAAGTTTTGTCGCTTATTATAATTTTTAGATAATATATATGTTTTACATAATTATGTATATAATTAGTATATTTTATGAATATTTGAAAATCATCTAAAAAAAAAAAAAGGTCTTAATTTTATATTTTTTGAGTTAATTAATTTATAAGTAAGTTAATTATCTTATTTCGTAGAAATTAAGAAGCTCGTTAATTAATCAATATTAATTCATGTTATAATAAATCTTAGTCAAATTCTCTAAATTAACTAAATTTGGCTAACTTCTTAATTTCCATTGGCCATAATTGTAATTCTTGTGGCCATTTTTTTATTTACAATTCTAGCCCTACCTTAACTCATTTTTAAGAACCATTTTGGGCCATTTCTTAATACCAAAAATTGGCCCAATTCCCTTTATAACCCAGGCCCAACAATTCTCCAATGGCCAGCAGTCCACCATTCCAATAATTCCATACATTACATTCAACAATAATACATACAGAAAACGAAAAAAAAAAAAAAAAACAACGTGACCCCACCTCCCCAACTTCATCTTCTCTACGGCAAAGCAACCCAGTACTGTTGTAGCAGTGCGATTCAGGCAACCAGGCACGCGGAATCGTCCTCACCAGCACGAGATAAGGCCACGTTGCACCCAAGGACGTTGGAATCGATCCAAGGCGTCCATCTCCCCTTTCCTCTTCCGGAAAGGGGCAAATTCCTCAGAAAAAGTTGTCTCTCCGGAATTGTGAAAGATTTCTTTTGAAGTTTGAAATTCAAATGGACCCTTGAGCCGATTCTCATCCGGATTCCCCCCAAAATTTGCCCTAATTTCCCCATATAAATAGCTCATTTCTTCTTCATCGGGAAAAGGGGGGAAAAATTGGAAAAAATACAGAGGAAAAAATTGAAAATTTTACAGAGAAGGGAAACTCTTAAGCTACAAAAGTTATTTCAAGAATACACTTAAAAAAAAAAAAAAACTTTTTTCATTTTCCTTCTCCCTCGTTCGCTGGTTGCTGAAATTTACAGAGGCTCATTAGAGTTCTTTTGTGGTCGTGGAAGTTCGTCTCCGCTCATTCTCGTCTCAAGTTCGCTGCCCGTAAGAAGGTGAAAACCTCTCCTTTTAGTTCTGCTCATTTGACCTTTAGTTGTTCTTCATTGCTTCTGATTATGTGTTTAACTCAGACCCCTCAGTCCGGGTCAAAATTTTACTTGACGATTAGTTCGTATCAGTATGGATAGGCATATACAATGTTTCGTCTTTCTTTTCCTCGGATTCCTTTTCTTTTCTTCCTTCTTGTGTCTATCTGATTGTGCTTTTACAAAAAAAATAAAATGGTTAGTTTGCTTTGATATATTTGGGGGTCCAATCTTGCTATAGTTTATTATCACTTTCAGTTCATAGTTTTGTTAGTTTTTCCCCTTCTTTACATGATAATCCTCGTTTGGTTTGTGTTGTCTCTTTTCGTTTGAGCCTAGCCGGTTGTCTTTTGTAAGACCATTTTAAAGGAGTTTTGAAACAGGGTTAATCTTATGCTTCTCATGAATATCTTGCAGTAAGTAGGCTGATCTCGGTTCGAAGTATATGTTTTGCATTTCACTATTTATTGATGTATCTTTAGTCATTTGATGGTCAGACATTTTTATGATAAAGTTAGAAGCATTTTGCGTTGGCTCATCTTAATCTTGTGATGTAACTTGCACAAAGCTATTTCAAATATGATCTATAGGTTGAGGTTTGTTTGTTCAGCATGAGTTTTGGTCCGATATGATGTTGTCTAGTTGGGAGGAAGCAATATGCATTTGTTCTCACTCGCTTGGCCTCCGGAGGTACATCATGTTTAGTCACGAATGGCTCTGTTTGCCTTAGTTTCTCTTCATGTGTCATGAATTTGCGCTAGTAGTCGGTGTTCCATGTTATGTCACTCTTCGCCTTAGCTAAATGCGTGAACTAGGACCCGTAGCTATTCGAGTTTAGCTTGCTTGTTTGTTTAGAATTATATGTCCACCTTATTTTAATTTTCATGTCTCGCAATCTAAGTGTTGCTTCATGTATGTGGAAATGAACCCGCTTTACTTAGAAGGAGAAATATTCGATGCAAGGCGAGAGTTTTGTTTTGTTTTACACGGGAAAGCATGTCTTAACTTGAATTTGGAAGTATTTTGTTCACCTAATCTAGTTATTTAATTCATTAGGATATGTCACTGTTTTTTTTCCTCATATTATTAAAAATATAAAATAAGAATAAAAATTATCTAATTAAACTCACGTGATTAATATTAATAGTCTAGGGATATTGAATTTGGTCCATTTGACTTTTGCTCTTCTACTGCTCACTGCACCACATACATAAAAATATTAAGTCTTCATGGTTTTTTGCCTTTACTTTATTGTTTGAATGTTGTACTGTTAACGTGTGATCGGAGTGTGCTTGTTTTTTTTTTTATGTTATTTTCATTTGTTTATTTTTGTTTTATGTACTCTTTATTTTTATTTTATTTTTTATCTTATCCCTTCATTTTCCTCCCCAATGCTAATTCTATATTTCGTTTGTCGTTTTGCATGTAAAATCCGTCCAAGTCCTCACGGACTGTACCTTTGCATTTACAAGGGGAGCATGGAGGCCCCAAAATTCTTTTACCGAGTCGGATCTCCCGAAAATTTGGTGAACAGGGTTCAGAACAGACATACAAGATTGTATACATCTAGTGTATACGAAAGTGGAAAATGGGCCTAAAATCCCCAAATTTCAAAAAAATAATTAAAAAAAATAATAATTGTATTTTGTTATTATTGGGCCTAAGGCCCAAAGAAAAATATTTCTTTTACGTTAGTATAGGACAGGTAATGGTGACTCAAATGGGCCGAAGGCCCAAAATGAAAATGGGCCCAAGTACTGGTCCAGGCGGACAGAAAAACCATACTTGGGCCCAAGTCTCTTTCCCTATTCATTTTTATTATGTTTATTTGCTTGCTAAATATTTGTCGTTAATCTTAAGGTTGAAAATATTCAAATCCCCGAAAGACACCCATTTTGAATTAATTACTTAACTAAATTACTCATCTTTCACTTGACTTAAAAAATAAATAAATAAGTTTACGAAATACCTCACTTAGATAATATTTCACTATTTTTCCCTTAAAATTGTCCTAACTATGAAATATGTTTAATTAAAATTAAGTCAACAATTTTTAGCCAAATAAATTAATTGTCGGATAACCGCATTAGCGGATATTTTAGGTGCTTTAAAAACCTTCCTAGAATATTAATAAGAACCCCGAACCCTTTTAAATATTTTCAATTGATTTCCTGTTTTAATCTATTGTAAATCAGTTTTTCTTGATTTTTCTTAAAAATTAAGTGGCGACTCTTAAACCAGTCCAAAATATATTTTCTAAATAAAACAGGTAGGTGACCTTTAGATTTCCATCTTGGCATCAACTTCATCAATCCTGGTCGATTTTATTTTAAGGGTCCGTTAAATAAAATTGGGGCCTAATGTTGTTCTTCATTATCTGAATACTTGACAATAACAGGGTAAGCAAAGCCATGTGAAGCTTCATGTGCTATTGTCTCTCACATTTAATTTGGATATCAAACTTACCACTAACTTTGTATATATACACATACATAGAAAGTCTGTTTGTGCAAAACACAAGTCTTACTTGCTGTGTATTACTCAAAATCGTTCATTCCTTTTCTTTTTAACTCATCATTTGAAGTTACAAAAGTATCTCGCAATGGTTATCAAAATGAGTCCCCTTATTCAAGGTACAAGAATCTTGAGGAGGTTTTCAAATTCCGGAGGTGTTCCAAAAGGACATTGTGTAGTATATGTAGGAGAGAGCCAGAAGAAGAGATTCGTCGTGCCAATAGCTTACTTGAGCCAACCTTTATTTCGGGACTTGTTAACTCAAGCTGAAGAACAGTTTGGCTTCGATCATCCAATGGGCGGTCTCACAATACCTTGCAAAGAAGACGTGTTTGTTGATCTCACATCCCGCTTGAGATCATGAATTGTATCAAAGTGAAAATTCTCTTGCACACGAAATTTTGTAGATTAGTAGACTTAGATTTTAGAAAGAGGAAGTTTTACTGTATAGTTCAGAAACACAAAATCAATAGAAGTTGTTTCCATGATCAATTTATAAAAAGCAGAAGTGCTTTTTCTTATAATCACTATTTTGCTTATATTTTCTAAAACAATGCTGTTATTCATTTAGAATTGCACTGTGTGGAGCAAACTAGCACATCCAAGAAATTATCATTTGAGCGGAATGAGAATGACATCTGTGATAAGTAACAAGAAATTACGTAGCGGAACCAAGTCATCAGCTTTATCTATACTTGACGCTTTAAATTTTTAGGATGTCCTTGATTCCAAGTTATGAGAATTGAGAAGCAATGAGGCCTACTATTCAATAAGTTTAGTCTCTGTATATTTGGATAAACTTTTGGATGTAAGACTTGCCATAAACTTGTTCATACACAGTGCAAAAACTTTCCTTTTCTGTGCATTTCTCAAGATTATGTGTTACTTGTTCATTCTTATAACATCAGTTAGAGTTAAAAATCATATCTTGAAAGAAGAGGAATTATCAAATGACCGTACTTATTCAATCTAATCAAATTTTAAGGATGTCTGCAGTTGTTTCATTATCATACTTGAGTCTTCCATTAGATTTTAAGACATTTTTTTGCTCGTAGTGTTTTATTACCTAATTACTTCTGAAAATACTACAAAATGTTCACACTGGATGCTAACTTAGAAGACAAGCATTGCGGTACATCTGATGTCGTTGTCTCTCATCTCTGCCACCCTAATGCAGATACTTCAGCAAAGCCTCATTAGAACATACTAATGCATATACTTAAAATTAGGCATAGTTGATTGACTGATCATTTAGACCTTATTCGATCAAGGAGGTACCACAGTAAGTGAAATGCTTGCGATAAACAAAGTGGTGTTAATACATAAGTGGTACCAATTCAGGATCAGATAGTTAAGTCTACTGATAACCAAATTTAAAAGTGAAAGCTGTGGATATATATGGTAAATTTTCTGATAAAATAATATTCAATCTGTATGATGTGCTTTACAATTGTGTTCTTCAGTCTATGCTGTATCTAAAAACTATTTTGAGCTATCATGTATTAAAAAAGATGTTGACTATAACTCAACAAACAAGAAGTACTTTGTTTCCACTTTCTTGGTGTGAATATGAAGTTGAATAGCAACATGAAGGAATTGAAAGGAGCAATGCTTTGTGAAGATCTCCTGCAGTTACGCCTTTCTTAACTAGAGAAATGATGTAGTCCATGAAGGCTGAATCACAAGGTAATGTAATAGGACCACCACTCGGCAGCCCAAATTCTTCTTCGGACATGTTTAAAAGTTGTCTGAATGGACTCATTTTCAAGATAAGCCAAGGGAATCACAAAGCGTACTTGATCGATTGTATATAATACAAAATGGCCTTTTTCAACAATAGAGGATGCTGATGTACTGCAACTGTCTGCATCACTGCCATTACTTGGAAATGAAATCCTCTTCCTTTGCATGGCTGCAAACTTCTGCCATTTCCTAACCATTTTGATGAGTTTCTTAGTACTGATTATTGCCATTTTTTTGTTTGGAAGATTGGAAAAAAGTAAGTAAATAAGAGAAACTTTTGATGGCTGAATTGATAATGAAAAGGCTCATGAAAGAGGGCTTATTTATACAAGAGGAGCTGATAAGTTTGTTAGGCAAAGCCATGTGCTGATGCCTGTTGGCCTAAAATTTGTGGATGAAGCTAAGTTTGAATATAAATGAAGATAAGTTTCTTCCTTTCTTCTCTTTGATCAACTAGGCCTACTTGGTATTTCTCAGCAATGGCAATAATATTGAGAACATTAAATGAATAATAGCTGGTGAGAAACAAAACCATGTTCTGCTCTCTTCTTTGTCATGTAGATAGGTGACCTTAAGATTTCCATCTTGGCATCAACTTCATCAATCCTTGTCGATTTTATTTTAGGTGTATCCGTAAAATAAAATTGGGGCCTTATGTTGTTTTTCAACAAATTTATTGTCTGAATACTTGACAATATATAACAGGGTAAGCAAAGTCATGTGAAGCTTCATGTGCTATTGTCTCTCAACAGTGGCCACCAAATCCTTTTCATAATTAAACTTGGATATGAAACTTACCACTAACTTTGTATATATTCACATCCATAGAAAGTTTTTTATGCAAAACACAAGTCTCACTTGCTGTGTATTACTCAAAATCCTTCAGTCTTTTTCATTTAAAGTCATCATTTGAAGTTACAAAAGTATCTACCTATGGGTATCAAAATGAGTCCCCTTATTCAAGGAACTAGAATCTTGAGGAGGTTTACAAACTCCGGAAGTGTTCCACAAGGACATTGTGCAGTATATGTAGGAGAGAGCCTGAAGAAGAGGTTCGTTGTGCCAATATCTTACTTGAGCCAGCCTTTATTTCAAGACTTGTTAACTCAAGCACAAGAACAGTTTGGCTTCGATCATCCAATGGGCGGTCTCACAATACCTTGCAAAGAAGATGTGTTTGTTGATCTCACATCCCGCTTGAGATCATGAATTATATCAAAGTGCAAATTCTCTTGCACATGAAATTTTGTAAAGTAGTAGTAGGACTTAGATATTAGAAAGAGTAAAATCCACTGTATAGTTCAGAAACACAAGGAACTAGAAAATTTCTTCGATGATCAATTTATGAATAGAAAAAGTGCTGGTTCTAATAATCACTAATTAGGTAGTATTTGCTAAAACAATTCCGTCGTAAACAAAATAATTAAGCCCCAGCTTGCAACAGTTACACCGTATGGCACAAACTAGTACATCGAAGAAAGTACCATTTAGCGGAATAAGAATGTCATTTGAGTTGTTTCTCACCAGCTCCATCTAAATTTCTCGAGTCTCGACTACTAAACTTTTGGATGTGAGACTTGCCATAACATGTACAGTGCCAAAATATTTCCTTTTCTGTGCATTTTTCAAGATTATTTGTTTCTTGTTGTTGTTTAATACTAAAATAGCAAGATGAACTAAACCAGAAGAACACAGTTTATTGATCTTCAAGCTGATTAAATAAATAAAGGAACATCTTCTCCTGGATCAGGAGCTGCAAACTCCCAATTTTTCTCTAAGAAATTTGAATCTGCTAACATGAAATGACTTGGTAAAAATGTCCGCCACTTGATTTTCTGATTCGCAATAGAGTAAAACCACTTCACCGTTTTACTACACTTCCCTCAAGAAATAAAACTTGATGTTGAAGTGCTTGGTCCTTCCATGAAACACATGATCTTTGGATATGGCTATGACAGCTTGAATAACCACAAGGATCTCAGTGCTTTCTTCTTGCTCTAGCTGCAAATTGATCAAATTTTCCTAAGCCATAGTGCTTGATTAACAGTAGCTGCTGCTGCGACGAATTCTGCTTCAGCTGTTAGTTGTGTGCTACTATTTCCTATAATATTTTATGAATAGAAAATGTTCAACTTTTGATTAATCTCCATTTTAGTAATATTTGCTTAAAGAATTCCCTTTATCATTTGAAATTCTCCGTTGTACTTCACCTTGTAGTCCAACTATAGATGATAATATGACGGTCATTAGATACAATCCATCATATCCTACACAGACCTTCAGATGCACTGATCCATAGGTGCAACAGTATGATGATGGACAGTAGTAAGACAGAACGAGTTAGACCATATATCACATGAAGCGCTCAAAATACCAACAATCTCTTGGAATGAACGCAAAGGATCCGTATAATGTAATACTGATTAGATAAGACTAAGATTTAGTTGCTGTATTTGTTGTTACACTTAACATTACTTCTGTTTTTTGTCAATTGCTCTTTTATTAGTTAAAGATTTGTATGACTGTGTTGGGGTAAAAGCGAGATTTAGCAAGTGTACTAGTTTTAGACAACTTCTTCTTTCAGTTAAAAGATAAACGGATGTGATTAGAACATAATAGATACAGATTGTTAGGACTTCTAATAACCAAATTGAAAAGTGAAAGCCATGGATATGGTAAATTTTCGGATAAAATAATATATTCAATCTGTATGATGCGCTTTACAATTGTGTTCTTCATTCTATGTCCTATCTAAAACAACTTTATGCTAAATGTTGATTATGACTCAACAAACAAGAAGCTGTTGGTTTCCACTTTCTTGGTGCAAAGAAGAAGTCGAACAACAACATGAAGGAATTGATAGGAGCAATGCTTTCTGAAAATCTCCTGCAGTTACGCCTTTCCTTATTAGCGAAATGATGTAGTCCATGAAGGCTGAATCACAAGGTAATGTAATAGGACCACCACTCAGAAGACCAAATTCTTCTTCAGACATGTTCAAAAGTTGCCTAATGATCTCATTTTCAAGATAAACCAAGGGAATCATGAAGCGCTTTTGATCAATTGTATATACTACAAAATGTCCTTTTTCAACTATAGGCGATGAAGACGTACTACAATCATCTGCATCGCTAACATTTCTTGGAAATGAAATCCTCTTCCTCTGCATGGCTGCAAACTTCTGCCATTTCCTAACCATTTTGATAAGTTTCTTAGTACTGATTATTGCCATTTTTTGTTTGGAAGATTGGAAAAAAGAAAGTAAATAAGCGAGACTTTTGATGCCTGAATTGATAATGCTTGTGCTTGATGATGAAAAGGCTCATGAAAGAGGGCTTATTAATACAAGAGGAGCTGATAAGGTTGTTAGGCAAAGCCATGTGCTGATGCCTGTTGGTATGGGGCCTAACATTTGTGGATGAAGAAGCTAAGTTTGAATATAAATGAAGATAAGTTTCTTCCTTTCTTCTCTTTGATCAACTAGGCCTACTTGATATTTCTCAGCAATGGCAATAATTTGAGACCATTAAATGAACAACTGCTGGTGAGAAACAAAGCCATGTTCTGCTCTCTTCTTTGTCATGTAGATTGGTGACCTTTAGATTTCCATTTCGGCATCAACTCATTTGTGGGTTTTATTTCAAATAAAAGAGGGGCCTAATGTCGTTCTTCTACAAATTTATTGTCTGAATACAGCAAAACCATGTGAAGCTTCATGTGCCAATGTCTCTCACCAGTGGCCACCAAATTCTCTTCACCATTAAACTTGGATATGAAATTTACCACTAACTTTGTATATATACACACACATAGAAAGTTTTTTTATGCAAAACACAAGTCTAACTTGCTGTGTAATTCTCAGAATCCTTCATTCTTTCTTTCAAGTCATCATTTGAAGTTATAAAAGGATCTCACTATGGGTATCAAAATGAGTCCCCTTATTCAAGGTACAAGAATCTTGAGGAGGTTTTCAAATTCCGGAGGTGTTCCAAAAGGTCATTGTGCAGTATATGTAGGAGAGAGCCAGAAGAAGAGATTCGTCATGCCAATATCTTACTTGAGCCAACCTTTATTTCAAGACTTGTTAACTCAAGCTGAAGAACAGTTTGGCTTCGATCATCCAATGGGTGGTCTCACAATACCTTGCAAAGAGGACGTGTTTGTTGATCTCACATCCCGCTTGAGATCATGAATTGTATCAAAGTGCAAATTCTCTTGCACACGAATTTTGTAGATTAGTAGACTTTTTAGATTTTAGAAAGAGGAGATTTAGAGAGGAAGTTTTACTGTATAGTTCAGAAACACAAGAATCTAGAAGTAGTTTCCACGATCAATTTATTAATAGCAGAACTGCCGTTTCTTATAATCACTATTTTAATTGGTTATATTTGCTTGCAAACTAACACATCCAAGAAAGTATCATTTAGCAGAATAAGAATGAAGTTTGTGATAAGTAACAAGAAATTACGTAGCGGAACCAAGTCATTAGCTTTATCTATTCTTAAGGCTTTAAATTTTTTATGATGTCCTTGATTCTAAGTTATGAGAAGCTGAGGCCTACTATTCAACAAGTTTAGTGTCTGTATACTTGGATAAGCTTTTGGATGTGAGACTTGTCATAAACTTATATATACACAGTGCAAAAACTTTCCTTTTCTGTGCATTTCTCAAGACTATGTGTTACTTATTCATTCTTACAACATCAGTTAGAGTTAAAAATCATATCTTGAAAGAAGAGGAATTATCAAATGACTCTACTTATTCAATCTAATCGAATTTTAAGGACGTCCGTAGTTGTTTCATTATCATACTTGAGTCTTCCATTAGATTTCAAGACATTTTTTTGCTCATAGTGTTTTATTACCTAATTACTTCTGAAAATACTACTAAATGTTCACACTGGATGCTAACTTAGAAGACAAGCATTGTGGTACTTCAGATGTCGTTGTCTCTCATCTCTGCCACCCTAATGCAGATACATCAGCAAAGCCTGATTAGAACATACATAAAAGGAGGCATAGTTGATTGATTGATCATTTAGACCTCATTCGATCAAGGAGGTACTGCCGTTAGTGAAACGTTAACGATAAACAAAGTGGTGTTAACACATAAGAGGTACCAATCGAGGATTAGATTGTTAAGTCTTCTCATAACCAAATGTAAAAGTGAAAGCCGTGGATATGGTAAATTTTCTCCGATAAAATAATATTCAATTTGTATGATCAGCTTTACAATTGTGTTCATCAGTGTATGCCCTATATCTAAAAAACTATTTTCATCTAGCATGTATTATGACTCAACAAACAAGAAGCTGTTGGTTTCCACTTTCTTGGTGCAAAGAAGAAGTCAAACAGCAAGAAGAAGGAACTGATAGGAGCAACGCTTTGTGAAAATCTCCAGCAGTTATGCCTTTCTTGATTAGCAAAATGATGTAGTCCATGAGTTTCTTGGCACTAATCATTGCCATTTTCTTTTCTAGAAGATTGAAAACAAGAAAGTGAATAACAAATTTAGAGATTTTTGATGGCTGAATTGATAATGCTTGTGCTTGATGATGAAAAGGCTCATGGAAGATGGATTATTTATACAAGAGGAGCTGATAAGTTTTTAAGGCAGAGCCATGTCCTGATGCCTGTTGGCCATGTTAATATGGGGCCTTAAATTTGTGGATGAGGCTAAGTTTGAATATGAAAGATGATAAGTTTCTTCCTTTCTTCTCTTTAATGAACTAGGCCTACTTGGTATTTCTCAGCAATGCCAATAATATGAGACCATTAAATGAACAATTGCTGGTGAGAAGCAAAACCATGTTATTATCTCTTCTTTGTCATGTAGATAGGGGACCTTTAGATTTCCATCTTGGCATTAACTTCATCAATCCTTGTCGATTTTATTTTAAGGGTATCTGTTAAATAAAATTGGGGCCTAATGTTGTTCTTCAACAAATTTATTATCTGAATACTTGACGGTAACAGGGTAAGCAAAGCCATGTGAAGCTTCATGTGCTATTGTCTCTCATCAGTAGCCACCAAATCCTCTTAATCATTAAATTTGGAGACTAACTTTGTATATATACACACACATAGAAAGTTTTTTACGCAAAACACAAGTCTCACTTGCTGTGTATTTCTCAAAATCCTTCATTCTTTCTTTTTAGTCATCATTTGAAGTTATAAAAGGATCTCACTATGGGTATCAAAATGAGTCCCCTAATTCAAGGTACTAGAATCTTGAGGAGGTTTTCAAACTCTGGAGGTGTTCCTAAAGGGCATTGTGCAGTATATGTAGGAGAGAGACAGAAGAAGAGATTTGTCGTGCCAATATCTTACTTGAGCCAGCCTTTATATCAAGACTTGTTAACTCAAGCTGAAGAACAGTTTGGCTTCGATCATCCAATGGGTGGTCTCACAATACCTTGCAAAGAGGACGTGTTTGTTGATCTCACATCCCGCTTGAGATCATGAGTTGTATCAAAGTGCAAATTCTCTTGCATAGAAATTTTGTAAAGTAGTAGACTTAGAGACTAGAAAGAGGAGATTTAGAGAGGAACTTTCACTGTATAGTTCAGAAACACAAGAATCTATAGAACTTGTTTCCATGATCAATTTATGATGGCAGAAGTGCTGTTTCTTACAATCACTATTTTCGTTATTTTTGCTAAAACAATGCTGTTATTTATTTAGAATTTTTCTGCTAAGCAAATAATAGTTTGCACTGTGTGGTTCAAATTAGCACATCCAAGAAAGTATCAATTAGCGGAATAAGAATGAAGTTAGTGATAAGGAACAAGAAATTATGTAGCGGAGCCAAATCATCAGCTTTATCTATACTTATGGCTTTAATTTTTTTGGATGTCCTTGATTCCAAGTTATGAGACTTGCCATAAACTTATATACACACACAAAGTATTTGAGCAGAACACAGTACAGAAAGCTTTCCTTTTTTGTACATTTTTCAAGATTATGTGTTCCTTGTTTATTCTTAGATCATCAGTTAGAGTTAAAAATCATATCTGGAAAGAAGGGGAGTTATCAAATGACTCCACTTATTCAAATTTTAAGGATCTTTAGTTGTTCTAATATCATACTTGAGTTTGCCTTTAGATTGCAAGACTTGTTAGCTCATATTGTTTGTTTTATCACCTAATTGCTTCTGAAAATACCACAAAATATTCACACAGGATGTTAACTTAGAAGACAAGCCCTGCGATACTTCAGATGACGTTGTCTCTCATCTCTGCCACCGTAATGCAGATACTTCAGCAATGCCTGATTAAAACATACTAATGCATATACATAAAAGGAGGCATAGTTGATTGATTGATCATTTAGACCTCATTCGATCAAGGAGGTACTGTAGTAAGTGAAACGCTAACGATAAACTAAGTGGTGTTAATACATAAGAGGTACCAATCGAGGATTAGATTGTTAAGTCTTCTCATAACCAAATGTAAAAGTGAAAGCCGTGGATATGGTAAATTTTCTCTGATAAAATAATATTCATTAATCTGTATGATGCGCTTTACAATAATGTTCATCAGTGTATGCCCTATCTTAAAAAACTATTTTCAGCTAGCATGTATTATGACTCAACAAACAAGAAGCTGTTGGTTTCCCAATTCTTGGTTTAAAGATGAAGTTGAACAGCAACAAGAAGGAATTGAGAGGAGCAATGCTTTGTGAAGATCTCCAGCAGTTACGCCTTTCCTTATTAGCAAAGTGATGTAGTCCATGAAGGCTGAATCACAGGGTAATGTAATAGGGCCACCACTCGGTAGCCCAAATTCTTCTTCGGACATGTTCAAGAGTTGCCTAATGATCTCATTTTCAAGGTAAACCAATGGAATGACAAAGCGAACTTGGTCAGCTGTATATACTACAAAATGTCCTTTTGCAACTATAGACGATGAAGACGTACTACAACTATCTGCATCGCTAACATTTCTTGGAAATGAAATCCTCTTCCTCTGCATGGCTGCAAACTTCTGCCATTTCCTAGCCATTTTGATGAGTTTCTTGTTACTAATCATCGCCATTTTCTTTTCCGGAAGATTGAAAACAAGAAAGTAAATAACAAATTTAGAAACTTTTGATGGCTGAACTGATAATGCTTGTGCTTGATGATGAAAAGGCTACTGAAAGAGGGATTATTTATACAAGTTGAGCTGATAAGTTTGTTAGGCAAAGCCATGTGCTGATGCCTGTTGCCCATGTTAGTATGGGGCCTTAAATTTGTGGATGAAGCTAAGTTTGAATATAAAAGATGATAAGTTTTTCCTTTCTTCTCAGCAATGCCAATAATATAAGATTATTAAATGATCAACAATTGATGTTAAGAAGCAAAACCATGTTCTATTCTCTTCTTTGTCATGTAGATAGGTGACCTTTAGATTTCCATCTTGGCTACAAAAATCATGTGCCATTGTCACCAATTTCTTTGACTAACACTAAATATTTGGATATGAAACTTGTCATAAACTTGTATATATACACACACTGGTCTCCATTCTTTCTTTAGGTCTTTGTATAAATTTTAAGTTACAAAGTATAAAAGTATCACTTTAAAGTTGCAAGTACAAAACTACAATGATAATAAAACACTCCTAAAGTACTACTTTTTTTTGGTGAGTTTCATATGTGAATTTGTGTTTTCTACCTAAACTATCATCAAATCAACTGTTTATCGAAACACACTACTAAACCAAATATTTGAATACAATTGCTAAAAGGCATGCAACAACTTAATTAGCCCTTAAAAATTTCATCCACATGACAACTGACTTATTATATTTGAGGCATATATTTTTTTTATGAATAGTTGGTGATATATCAGATAAGAAATACAAACACCTGATAGTTCATGCAGAACACTCACAAAAAAAGTGATACTTTAGGTATGTTTTTGAACGTTATCCCTTAATTTTCCAATTGATTTCTTTAATTATCTTCGTGGAGCACCATTCGAAACCATTTTTAAACAAAAGAGAAGATTGCACATCACGCACCATCATATACTAGTCAAGGTGTGTCTTAATACATGTTGGTGATAATTCAAGTAGAAAATACAAACATGTTATTGTTCACGTCAAAAACTCACAAAAAAACCCGACACTTTAGATATATTTTTAACTATTATTTGTATTTAATACTACAAAAATGTAGTATATTTTTAAATTTTGTATCTTTAATCAAAGTATATTGTAAAGCAAAAATTTATTTAGTCAACGCATGTAATTAATTCTAAGCAGCCGCCCAAATAATATTTACTTTTTAGTCAAAGAAAATATAGTCATCAAATTGAGCAGAAAAGGGAGATAAAAAAAAAAAAAGCAATCGGAAAAATGGCCGCCGGCACGGCAAATCTATCGGAAAAAATGGTGCATCCGGCAGTAAAACCTTTATCTGACCTGCTTGGTACTTGGAAAGGTGAAGGTGAAGGCTTTTTCCCTACAATTTCTTCCTTCAATTACTCCGAAGAACTCCAATTTACTCACTCTCCAAACAAGGTTAGGTTCCGAATAATCCCTCCATTTCAATTTGTTTGTCTGATTTTGATTTTGATACGGAATTTAAGAAATTGTGCAAGGTTTTTTGAATTTTTAAGTTAGATTTAAAGAGTTGTCGAGAAAGGAAAGGTGTATTTTTTTTAAACGGAATAAAAAGATAAGTAAGATAAATAAATTGAAACAGAGAGAATCTTTTGAAAAATTTTAGTGATCTTTTTATCTGTATTTTTGTTGAAATTTTAATGATTTTTTTAATTTACAGTCCTCTGTCCTAGTTTGTGTGGTTCCATTTTGGAATGTTTATGGAAAAAGGCAGATTGTTATATTTAGAAATAATTTAACTTTAAATTTCTCGTTTTGGGACGAGAAGGGGGAAAAGAATACAGAAAAGACAGTTCTTTTAGTACTAGTTAGTGATTAGTTAATGATTTAGTGAGTCCTTTTTAGCCCGATGAACTCTTGGAACCGTCACATAAATAGTTATGGCTTGTTTTAGATCATAAGTTTCAAATTTGTTTCTTAAAACAATATGCCTAGTCAAATAGTGTTATAAAAATGGGACGGAGGGAGTAATATATATATACATTGTTTGAGTCTCCCTAAAAAAGGGAATCTTGTGACAAATGGGGTTCACAAATTGTGTTAACTCACATGTTCAAGTTCCAAGTGTTGCATTCTTGCATCTTTTTCGAATCCCTTTATTAGAATTACTGGCTGTCACTATACATGCGATGATTTTTTTGCCTAAATTTTGCTTCTTTTTATCAGCCTGTGATAGCATATTCTCAAAAGACATGGAACTTGAAATCCGGACAACCTATGCATTCCGAGAGCGGATACTGGAGACCTAAACCTGATGGGACCATTGAAGTCGTCATTGCTCAGAGCACTGGTCTCGTTGAAGTCCAGGTGATCTCCTTATGAGTAGAACAGTTTTACATTGTCAGTGAATGATAAGTTAAATCATGTCTACGATTCATGAGTCATGCCTCTGAATATCATGTTATCAGCTTTTTAGATGTGCTAAGGACATGTTGGTCGTTCCTTGTTTGGGTCTGCGATTCTAATATTGAGATGGTAATTCGAAGTGACTTTTGATGTTATAAACAAGACTCATTGACAATCTGGGAGGTCAAATGTATATGTCGGCATGTTAAGTTTGTTTATCCATTTTGGTCAACCATAAAACATAATATTTCTACTTTCATTCTACAGAAAGGAACATATGACATGAAAGAGGGAGTTGTGAAGCTTAAAAGTGAACTGGTTGGCAATGCTTCCAAGGTAATCTCCTCTAGCACGTTTTATCTGCTTTTTTCTACCTTCATCTTTGACCCTTTGATGCGCTTGCCCACCTTTATGATAGAGTTATGAGTTTTCATCTCCCTTATGTTTTCTAGGATGTAAAGTTAAAGTACAAATTGAACTCTTGAAACATCTATGTGTCGTATTTGACATGAAGAAAGTTTACAAAGAAAAAGTAAGCGTTAGCATATTCTACAAGTATCATCTTGCAAGATGATGTTTGTGGAAATGGTTTCAACTTTTAAGTTTTTCTTAAATGAAGTATTGTATTTAAGTTTAGGGAAAAAAGCCCTTTGATTGTTGGTGGAGGTTGGTGAAGTTTGACTAATGTTATCCTTCGCTTGCCTGATGAACAGGTCAAGGAGATAACTCGAGTTTTCAAAGTGGAGAATTGTGAACTATCATATGTTGTGGAGATGGCCACCAGTCTAACTGATCTTCAGCCTCATCTCAGAGCCTCTCTTAAGAAGCTCTAGGCTGTCATCTCATTACCGGCGATATCAGTATCTATACTACATCCCTGACGTACTTGCTAACTAATGTTTGTGTGTATTGACATTTTACCAGAAGTAGGATACTGAATGTTAATTGCAAGATAAAACTCTATTTCTGTAATAATACAAGATTTCAGTTTCCCATTTTTCAAGAGCTATACTATCTATATTGAGCTATCATTTACAAAACATGATCATTTCATGACTCAATAAACAAGAAACTGTTGGTTTCCACTTTTTTGGTGCAAAGAGAAAGTTGAACTACAACATGAAGGAATTGAGAGGAGCAACGTCCTCTGAAGATCTCCACCAGCTACACCTTTCTTGATTAGTGAAATGATGTAGTTCATGAAGCCTGAATCATGGGGTACTGTGATAGGTCCACCACTCGGTAGCACAAACTCTTCTTCAGACATGTTT